TTCCAAAACTTGAGGGCAAGTTTTGAAACATTTCAAAACATTAGGGTTTAGAATTTAAATATGCATCAAAATTAAACTTTTAATCAAAGTTTAAATTCCAAAACTTGAGGGCAAGTTTTGAAACTTTTCAAAACAATTTAGTTTTAATTTCTCTTAATTTTTTTTTTCGAATTTATGACATGTAAATAAAAATTTTAAATATTACAACTCTTGATTTAATAATTATCTTGAATTAGACTATTAATTTAATTATTAAATCATATAAATCATGAGGGTAATTACCATTTATACATTTAAGATATCCTAATCCCTTAATTATCTCTCTTGTTTTCGAAATTATGGTTAGGATAAGGCAAAATCTATAATTACCATATATAACAATTAGAAGATAATTACAAGATATGAGATAATCCAAATCCCTAAAATTTAGGATCTTATCTTGGGGAGGAGGCTAATTTCGAAAATCAAGAGATTAAGACAAACCCTAGATTTCGAAATTTAAGGGTTTAAGGAAAGGATTTGAAGATCTTATTCAAACTCTTGCAAATTAGGGTTTGCAAACCCTAATCTCGAAAAAACTTAGCCTCCTAGGGTTTATTGGCAATAAACCCTAATATGTCAAGTTCATACAATTGAATAAACTAATTGAAAACAAGTTAACCAAAGGCTCTGATACCACTGTTGGGTTTTGTACAAACAATCCTATGTGTGCATGCAACCCTAGAATTGGATCTACGTTTTCACTATTTGATACACAACATTATGAACACTTGAAGAACCCTAAAAGGCTTCTAAGAATTTCGAAATCCTCAAGGAAAGATGAAATACATACCTCTTGTTGTTATATTGTAATAACAACTTAAATCTTGAACCTTCTTGTCTTTGAAAGCAAGTACCACAAGTGTAATACCTCTAATGGCTCACAAACACCAAGAGCAAATGGAGAGGTAATAGAGAGAGGGACGAGGTGTGAAATTCATCCCTAGGAACCCTAGACAAGGCATGGACGAATTCTTATGGCCTTAGGGGTCTTTATATAGGTGTAGAGATTAAGGTTTCAGTCCTTATCCTTATCTAGTTGCTTGCCCACCAAGTAACCATAAGATAAGCCTTGAAAACCCTTATCCTTATCCTTTGGATGATTTCAAGGATATCTTATCCCTTGAATTCGTCCAACCTATATCTAGGATAACCATTACCATATTTTGTAACTATCACATAATTACAATTCAACCCCTCTAGTTTAATTAATTACACTTGATCACAAAATTAATTCCTAATTAATTATTGACCAATATTAATTAAACATTTATGATTTCTCCTTTAATATATTATTCTTATAACATATTAATAAATCATAATAACCTCTTTCTCTATTATTTCTCTAGTCAAGTTGCTTTGGTGAAGGCAACACAAAAGGACCATGCACAATCGGGTTAAGTACTTGACAAATATGGTTACGGGCTTAGATAGTTTCCTGCTAGTGTTTGGGTTATCAAGGATCATATATGTCATCTTGCATGCCGAAAGGTCCTTAATGAACCCACAAAGGGATGCATCTTGCTGAGTGGATTTCATGCGTACCGTTATCATTCCGGATTTTTGTCGGGATCTATGCATGAGTATTATTTAGAGGATACTCGATCAGGGTTGGAGTGATTGTTCTCCAATGAAGTCAGCGTTCAGGGATTCTATCATTGTTCAGGTATGGTCGGTAATTATCTATGGATGAACTTTGGAGTTCAAGGCACTACCGTTGCTAGGACAGAGCTGGTGACATGAAAAGGGTAGTGTTAGTCGCGGGTGTTAGATGCATAAGTGGTTGGTTATCGCATGTTTAGGATAATTGTATTTTTGCATGGGTTGTGTTCGGTTAGAGTTTAGTGGTACTGCAAGATTGGAAATGAGAATGAGGATTCGTTAGCCAGAGTGAAGATTGAGACCTTCAATTGACAAAATGATAGATGGATCGAGGTGTCAGACTGGATCAAATGTCAAGAGTACTCATCGAGATTTCCGAGGATGTGATATCTCAAGGTTTAATCAGTGATTAAACGCTAGCATTGGCAGGCACAGGTTGCCATCAATGGGATATTAGAACACGAGAAGGATTGGAAATCCTTCAATTCTTGCATGCAGTGAAGACTTAGTCGAATCTAAGTGGGGGAGAGACTTTTTATAAAGTCCTCCAAATGTGAGTTATGGTTGTGCGGGGTGCAATCTCTTGGGCACCTTGTCAACCAAAAGGGTATTCTAGTTGATCCGGCCAAGATAGAGGCCGTGATGCAGTGGGAGATTCCGAGGTCTCCATCTGAGATTCAGAGTTTCCTGGGTCTAGCAGGTTACTACCGGAGATTTACATGCGACTTCTCCGAGATTGTGGTTCTTTTGGCCCGACTGACCAAGAAGTCGATGGCCTTTCGTTGAGGGCCTGAATAGCAGGTAGCCTTCAATACTCTCAGACATCAGTTGTGCGAGGCACTGATTCTCACCCTGCAAGAGGGTGTAGATGATTTCATGGTTTACTGTGACGCTTTGATCACGGGCATGGGTACGGTCATTATGTTATGACATATTATCAGACATATTATCATGACTTTACGTGATAATCAAGTCCTGAGAGTTTAGATCCATTGTTTGGAGTGATAGATCTGATTGCAAACTTTTGAATGAAAGATCAGATTGCAAGGACTCGCCGAGTCTTTGAGCCTACTCGATGAGTCGGATGGGGTTTCTCCCCGATGAGTCTCGACATGGGTGACTTGGCGAGTTGACGAGTCAATGTGAATCTTCGCGATATGATAGTAGTAGCAAGAGGAATCGACGAGCCACATAGATGCACTCGGTGAGTCGGGTCAAACGTGGACTGTTGACTCGAGTTTGATTTATGTTGATCATAGGGTTGGTCAAACATAAGTAATGGAGACCATGGAGGGGTAAATTGTTCTTTTACCCACTTCCAAAGTTAGAGAAAGAAAGAGAAACCTTTGGTTTACTTCGAGTCAAAAATCGAGTATTAATTAGAGATATTTATCCTGTATGTTAGGCGGTGGCTAGTTCGAGATTCAAGTACGAGGATAATTGCTTGCTTGCTTGCGAGGTGAGTCTTCTCACTATACTTACCTAGTGTGGTAATCTGAGTTGTGTGAGCCAGAGGGTCTTATGCACTTATATTGTGTATTGTGATATCCTACATTATTTCTCTGTGATTTATGTTGTGTATTATGCTGAGTTTACTGAGTTGGGACCGGAGGGTCCACCCGAGCTATGAGACCGGAGGGTCCCACTGAGACACATTGACCGGAGGGTCTTATCTCGAGCATAGCCATGAGAGGCTATTGAAACATGTGTGGTATTTTGGGGAACTCACTAAGCTTCGTGCTTACCGTGTTATGTGTTTTAGGTACTTTACATGATATCGGGAAGGCACCGGCTCGATTGTACACATGAGAGAAGAGTTATGTTTGGAGGATCCTGGATTTGTGATAAACAATTATGAAATAAAAATGTGTTGATAAATTATTACTTGTGATTTTGAGGAAATGTGATATGTGTTTTGAAATGAAAATTTTGTTTGAAAATTTACGGTATTACACACGACACGACACGAAACGATAATTAAACGGGTAAGGTTCGGGTCAAGACTTTTAACTTGATGATGACTCGGATATGACCCGTTTAATTATATATTATTTATTATAAATTTCATATTTTTATAAATATATTATATATTATAGATTTGTAGTGGGCCAAACTCAAGAATTAGAAATAATATTCAAATTTTCGAAGTTACTTAATTTTACTCATCATCACCACTTATTCCCTTTGCTTTTGAACTTCAACTCTTTTCAATTTGCCTTCTAAACTTAGTAATTTTTTTCATTCCATCTCCTAACTCCAATGTTTCACTTTTGCATCCATAACTCTTTCTTTCCAACCTTTAAAATGTTTCAAGCAGACATGACACAACATATTTACAATGTCTAGACCTTAACCTGAAACCCAACACGAAAATGATGGGTTGACACGACACAATAATTAAATGGGTCGGGTTAGGGTCAAACCCTTTCAACCCGTTTAATGTCTTGACATGACACGACACGTTTGCTAGGTCTATCCCGGGGTCGTGATAAACCAATATTTCAACTAGGGGCGAGCAAAAACCGAACTGATAAAGCAAAAATCGCAAAAACCGCAACCAAAAAACCGAAACCGATGCAAAAACCGATGATGCATATATTTTTTTGAAAACCTAAATTTATTGGTTTGGTTCAGTTTTTATTTAGAAACCGGAGCACCAAAACCAAACCACACCGTAAGCTTATTAACAATAAAATAAATCACTAATTTATATTATACAATTATACATATTATTAAAAAACCAATAAATTCTACTTTATACATATATTATATATTAAACTTGACGGTAATTAGTAATTAGATATTATATTTAATATGTAAACACTATGTGGGCTACAACTTGCAAGCTTGTAACTTCTAAGCACAAATTGAATAGAAAAATGAGCTTAAGAATATAGGTTGCAAATGAAATGATCAATTAAACAACATAAAAAACTTAAAATTAAAGCTTCTAAATATGAAGAAACGAAATGATAGCATGTCATACAATTATAAATCTTCACATGAACATTATGGTTAAAAAAATCGTACCAGTGAACATAAAAACCGCACCATATGTTTGAATAAGTTTTAAACCGGCATCGAACCGGTACAAATCGAAACCGCACTCAAAAACCGCAAAACCGAACCATTGAAATATCGCACCCAACGGTTTCTAGAATTTAAACCCGCACCTTGTGGTTTCCGATTTGGTTTGCCCCTAAAACCACATCAAACCGCACATTGCTCACCCTTAAGTTCAACGGTTCAACCTATTTATAATGTATTTTATACTAATCTCTCTCAAAAAAAAAAAAAAAAAAACATTTCGCTACCAAAATTGAAAGAAAGAAAGAAAACATTAATTAAACGGACAAAAGCTGTAACAATCGAAGTTCATCTTGGATTTGTTTAACAACTTGGAAAAGTTCCATCGATTTCAATTTTCATATACAGTTAAAGGCACTGAAGAAGACGACATTCCATGTCCAAACAAATTCTTCAAATCCAACTATCAATGAGGGATCTTTCCCGCCAAATCAATTAAACCAGAGCGTCATCATGACGAAGATCCTTACCCCCAAATTCAATTTCTCATTCATCTTCCTCTGCATCTCAATCTCCATTTACCGCTTCAACAACCCATCAGAAAACCAAACCCTAATCCCGAAACCATCACTACAACCACCACCACCACCGATCAATCGCAAGAACTACATTGTCAGATTCATCCAATACAAGAAAGCGGAAGACCACAAAGCGTATCTCGAGCATAACGCCAATGAAGTACCGTACAACTCGTGTTCTTGGGAATGGATCGATAGAAACAACCCTGCTTCTAAATTCCCCACGGATTTTGGAGTCGTCTCCATCGACGATGACGCTGTTGATTCGGTTGTTAGGAAGTTTGAGACACTGGAGATGGTGAAAGATGTTAGGGTTGATTCGAGCTACCATTTAAGGAGCTTGCTTGGTGGAATGAAGAAGAAAAGGTACGATCGAGTTGGGGCGTTTGTAGATGGGAAGAAGCGACCTGGGAAGATCTTCACATCGATGTCATTTACTGATGGTGAAGATTTCGTAGCTGCAGCCACGACTGCTAACCAGACGATTGAGTGGAAACGACAGCTTTTATCTCAGGTAAACATCAACAACATTTGAATCCATAGTTCCTTCTATGGCAATCACGGTGTGATCTGATTACTTTCGATGCAGAAATCTCAAGTTACATCCCTGTTTGGAGCAGATGCACTTTGGTCAAAAGGGTACACCGGAGCAAAAGTAAAGATGGCTATATTTGATACCGGAATTCGTTCTGATCACCCCCATTTCCGCAATATAAAGGTATCATCACCATTGATGGACTCCATGACTTTCTCCTTAAGTTGGCATCCAACATTTTATTTCTCTTTCACAACATCAGGAACGCACAAACTGGACGAATGAGAATTCACTAAACGATAATCTTGGACATGGAACATTTGTTGCTGGAGTGATTGCTGGTGAAAACACAGAATGTCTAGGGTTTGCACCAGATACAGAGATTTACGCTTTCCGTGTGTTTACAGATGCACAGGTAACACCTACACTACAGTTCCTCATCACTTCCATCTTCAAAACTATGTTAAGAGTCATAAATTTCTATTCAGCTTCTTACAGGTTTCATACACATCATGGTTTCTTGATGCATTCAACTATGCAATCGCAACCAACATGGATGTCTTGAACCTAAGCATCGGTGGACCTGATAACATGGATCTTCCATTTGTCGAGAAAGTTTGGGAATTAACAGCAAGCAACATCATAATGGTGTCTGCAATTGGCAACGATGGACCATATTATGGCACTTTAAACAACCCTGCTGATCAAAGTGATGTCATCGGTGTTGGTGGAATTGATTACAGTTCCAACATTGCTTCATTTTCATCACGTGGCATGAGCACTTGGGAGATCCCTCATGGGTATTCTATCTTTTTTCATTCATTTAGTTAAATGATCAAAGATTTAATCAAAATCTATAAAATTTGATCTTTACTACAGATATGGACGTGTAAAACCAGATGTAGTTGCTTATGGGAAGAATATCCGAGGATCTGCTATAGGAACAGGATGTAGAACACTATCAGGAACAAGTGTAGCAAGTCCTGTCGTTGCTGGTGTTGTGTGTCTTCTTGTTAGTGTCATCCCTGAAAGTGAAAGAAAGAAGATCTTGAATCCTGCAAGCATGAAGCAAACCCTAGTTGAAGGTGCTGTGAAGCTTTCTGGTCATAATATGTATGAGCAGGGTTCCGGAAGGGTTGATTTGTAAGTTTTTATATATTTTAATTGTAGCAAAAACTCAAAAAGACGTATTTTTTTGATATTTTTTTTGATATAACAGGTTAGAATCATATGAAATCTTGAAAAACTACAAGCCTCGAGCGACAATCTTCCCGAATGTTCTCGATTACACAGACTGCCCATACACGTGGCCTTTCTGCCAGCAACCGCTATACGCAGGCGGGATGCCTGTGCTTTTCAACGCCACCATCCTCAACGGAATGGGAGTAATCGGCTACTTCTCATCTGCACCATCATGGATTCCGGCGACTGAACAAGGTAATCTCCTCAACATCCGTTTCACTTACTCCGACATCATCTGGCCATGGACTGGCTACCTCGCTTTACACCTCCAAATCAAAGAAGAAGGATCTGACTTTTCCGGCGACATCTCCGGGAAGGTGGTCGTTCATATCTACTCCCCTCCGGCGACCGGAGAAACCACCTTCCAAAACAGCACGTGCGTGTTACATCTAAAGCTTAAAGTGATTCCGACTCCGGTGAGATCAAAACGGGTTTTATTCGATCAATTTCATAACATAAAATACCCACCCGGGTATGTCCCTAGGGATTCATTATCCGTTCATAACGACATTCTCGATTGGCATGGAGACCATTTGCATACGAATTTCCATTCAATGTTTAACGTTTTAAGAGAAGAAGGTTACTTTATTGAAACGCTTGGATCCCCGTTGACTTGCTTTGACGCGAACAATTACGGGAGTTTGTTAATGGTGGATCTTGAAGACGAGTATTTCGAAGAGGAGATACGCAAGCTAAAAGACGATGTCGTGGTTAGTGGGTTGGGTTTGGTGGTGTTTGGTGATTGGTATAACGTCGACACGATCACAAAGATGAGATTTTTCGACGACAATACACGGAGTTGGTGGACCCCAGTAACAGGTGGCGCGAATTTACCCGCTTTAAACGATCTTCTGTTTCCATTTGGGATCGCATTTGGTGATCGGATTCTCAATGGAAATATCAAAATCGAACATGATAGATGTAGGTATGCATCGGGAAGCAACATTGTTAAATTCCCAAAAGGCGGGTTTTTGCATCGGTTTCCTTTGTTTGATAGCGCGGGTAATAATGGGCATACGGATAAGGTACACATGTGAATTTACTATTTTACCCTCTTTTGGATTATGAAGTTACGTTAACGAGTTAATTTTAGGGAGATGGAGATGCAGCGATTCTTGGTGTTGTGGAAGTTGGAGAGGGTAGAATCGGCGTATATGGTGATTCCAACTGTTTGGATTCGAGTCACATGGTGAAAGATTGTTTCTGGCTTTTAACAAAAATGTTGGATTTCACAAGCAGAAGCATTAAAGATCCGGTTTTGTTTTCCAATTCAGTGAAACTGAAACAATCGATGGATGAAGGTGATGAACGATTACCTTCTAGAAGAACGGAATTGAATTTCTCGATGTATTCCAGAGTGATCGGAAAGGAATTGGTGTGTCGGAATGACTCGAGGTTTGATGTGTGGGGAACGAAGGGGTATGGGTTGCAGGTTAGAGGAAGAAACCATAGATTGCCAGGTCATCAGGCTATCGATTTGGGTAGTGGTTTAAAAAACTCTTCATCTGATTACTCTGTTCGAAAGGGTTTCAAGAACAAAAGGAGTTTTTCTTTTTCGGGGAATAAATTCTTCAGCTTTCTGTATTCAGATGATGTAAGAATCTCAAACTTGTACTTTATTTGTTACATATTTGGTATTATGAATAACAAATTGTAATTTTATATGCAGCCTCTTGTGATATTTCCAAATCAGTGGTTTTTACCTTGTATCATTGCTGTTTTTGGTGAGTGAATTTTATGTATATATACTTTGTGAGCTCAATTTCTGTTATGACCTAATTATTATTCGTTTTGTTTCAGGGGTTTTTCTTGTAACAAGTTTATGTAAAATTCGACAGAAAAGGCGTCGAAGAAGGAAAGTATCTGGATCCAGTAGATAAACATATTATTTTAATCATGGAAATGATTTTTTTGCAAATTTATAGAGGAAAAGATTATGAAAATTTGGAATGATGTTAATAATAATAAAAAGAATCATATTCTTCGGGTTCCACATACTGATAATATCTCGTTATTTGGTCGCGACTTCATGAATAACACACCCCGTCTATTCTTACTTTTGTCCTACAAAAAAATGGGGAAGAATTTGATAGTGATTAGTTTGTTATATTTGTTGATATATAGAGGATAATTAAAGAAAATGTTATATAAGAAATTAAATCACCTGTAATTGAAAAGATTGAGATTTTGGTTGAACAGATAGGCTATCTCGAACTGGAAAAACTGAAATAAATAAATAAGTAAATAAATCGAGGAGATTTTTAGGGCTATATTTGCTATAATAGTGATGAGTAAGACATTTATGTTTTGATACATACAAGAATCAATTTTGTCCCATTAGTATGAAGTTTGAGTCTCAAAGAGGAGACTAGACAAGTTTTTTTTTTTTTTTATGATAGTGATATGGAGGGTATTCATGTCTTTTGTTAGGGTAGGGTAAAAAATTAATTTTTGCCTCTTAACATCTTGGTTTTATTATTTAATGAATGTCAAATGCATTATAAAATTGTTTCGTTTTTATTCTTTAATGAATGTCAAATGCAGTATAAAACATTGTGTTCCATTGTGTTATATGTGACAGATTTAGAATAAGAAAAAATGACAAAGGAATATTTGTTTTTTTTAAGGTTTTAGATACCTCGAACAGACGATGATGAACACATAGGTTTGTAGCTGTTACAAGTGTACAAGAAAAGTGGAACTTCTTCATCTACCTTAAATTCATCGTTTCCTTTTATATCTTTTACACTAATTCGACTCTCGGATTCCCTATAAAATACATAGAAGGTTATATGCTATAATAAATAAATAAATAAATAAATAAGGAAAAGAAAAATATGATACCTGAAGCTTTGATTTAGTTTCAAAACATTTGAAACAGCTGATTCAAACATAACTCTATGTCAGACAAACATAAACAGATAACATAAAACAAAAAGGAAAAGATAGAATCTTACGTGGTTTTATATAACGAGAATTGTATCTCAGAATATTCTCACTTGAGGAAACTTTAGCTAGAGCAATCTTATGAGAATAGTCTTGACAAGTCAACAGTTTCTATTTCGTCAATTAAAAATAATTTTAATTAAATTTGAACATAAAAAAAATACAACTTTCAAAATGCTATTAACACATAACTCACTTGATTCAAGAAATTGATTTTGACTTCTGTTTGATTTATCGAACAAGTTTTAGACAAATGGTGATCCAGATTAGCAGAAACGGATCCAAGATGATCCACAACAGTCACCAAGGCACTTTGTATGTACTCCTTCGTGTTCTTTACAACTCTAAAAAGTCAAAGTCAAAATTACTCATTTTCAAATCCAATTTATACGTTGAGTTTTTAATATTTTTAGCTCAAACTTTCTGCTATCGCGCTTATTAAAAGCTGTCTTTCCGAACTAAAAGTAATATTTTTTTATAGAATTTAGAACTGAAATCCAACAAGTTTGACTCAGAAAAGTCAAAATCGGAATGTAGTTGCTTACAGTTGCTTTTGGTTGGAATTTAAGAAAGTGGATTGGTAGGAATCTGCTGCATGATGAAGCTGTGAACACAAATCTTTCAACTCCTGAAACAAAAACAAATCAAAATTCAAAATTTCAAAACAAAAATCAATCGAATTATGAAAAGAAGAAGATTTTGGGGTTATAGATTGACTTGAAGAGATTTCTTGAAAGTGGTTTCGTTTTCTGATTCAGATTGTGGGGTTTGTTTATGATCTTCAGAAGATGGGGATGAGTTCTTCATTTTCGTTGAGGTTTTTTTCTTCATTTGATTGGTTAATGGTTATATTAATAGTAAAAACATGCAAAAACACACACAAAAACACCTGGGTATGTGTGTGTTTATAAAGAAATAAATAAAGAATATAAGATTCTTTATTTTGAACAGAAAAGGCATGGGGAACTTAATGGGCAGAAATATATAGAAAGAAAGATAACAAACTTTTTATATATTTTCATTTTATTCCCGTGATCTTTTGTGTTATTCCCAGAAATACCCTTTTTATTCAGTCACTCTAGTAATTAAGAAATTATAAGTTGGTTTTTCAAAAAATTCAGTTAACTAAAAATATATAAAAACAAAACACATACATATTGTTAACAATAAGTATTAAATTCAATAATTTTTTTTTTGTACATGCTTAAATACTTCTTGTTTGTTGTAGATGTATAATCGATTATTTATATATTATTTTTTTGGTATTTTGATTTCAAATAGACAAGAAGAATGTGATCTAGATTTCTGGATTCTGTCATATCCAAACACATTCTAGGTTTAAAGATCTATAATTAGACTAAAAAATTAGTTAAAACCCATTAAATTATAGATTTTGTTTTAGGGAATTTTATATTTAAGTGAGACAAAATTTATATGCCAACATGCAGGAAATTCACATGAAGTCAGTTGGGTTTCTAGTCTTACATATTTATTTATTTATTATATTTATATATGAAGTTCTGAAAATATGAGTTAACTATTAAAGAGAGAATGGAGTTGTTTTAGTGGAAGATTAAACAACTGGAGTTGCCATTCTAAACCACATGTATGTTACCTATGTTTACAAATTACAAATGTTATATATATATATATATATATATATATATATATATATATATATATATATATATATATATATATATATATATATATATATATATATATATATATATGGTTAGGTTAATTTGAGACGGATCTAATTTTGTGAGATCGTGAAACAACTTTTTTCTAATGAACTATTCTAATATTTTGTTATTCAAATATATATATATATATATATATATATATATATATATATATATATATATATATATATATATATTATGATATGCTAAAACAATATTATTAACCCATTTTACATTGAAATATTCTAAAAACATATAATGTTAGAATATTATACATATTATCTTTTTTAAATGATTAAAATATTAGAATATTTTTATGTCGGTCTCATAAAATTATATATATATATATATATATATATATATATATATATATATATAAAAAGTATAAAAAGACAACCAATTTTAATCTATGAAAATGTTCTTAAAATACTGAGTTTAAGATGATGTACGTAGTTGTTTATTTATACAATAACAGTTCTGTTTTTTTTTTTTTTTCACAAACAATAGAAAAAACTTATTAACCAACATTTTTCCCTTAAGCACCGATTTGGTAAGTTACACATCAACTAGTAAGCACTTAAAAAAACATAAGTTGTTTTAAATAAGCAAATCCCAACATCATCTGAATAAGCGATTAAGATTTTAAATTAAATCTACATAAATATACTTCTTTTCTCAAAATTATACTTTCACTTATCGTTGTTAAGATCAGAATTTATCTTGCATATGATCGTTTTAAGGTTTGGAAAAATGAATTATTCTCTAAATTTGCTTACAAGGTCTTGTTAATGCATGAGTCATTATAGCTTGATATTGATTAAGAAACCGATAACAAAATTAATTTTGACTCCCTAAGCACTAACCATGATCTTTGTAGAAGCAAACCACAACAATTATTTAAAAAAAAAACGATTTAAGCAGAAAAAGACAAAAGAAATTAGTAAAAATTGATATTTATTAGAAAAACAAAATAAACTCCATGGATCCATCACAGTATACACAAAGATCACACCCACATATTACATTACACTTTCACTATCACAAAACCTACCTCAACTATAATATTCATCAATAATAATAAAAAAAAAAACTATGTTAAATTTAAAAAATAAAAATTAAGAGTATTCATGTTAGTAATCTAACAATGGGGAGGGGGGCAAACTGTAATTTCCATCTCTGCATCAAAGAATAGCCTAACACTACTTATAAGATGCAGCTTTACTCTCTTTTCTACTCAAATCTTTTTATCTCTCTTTTTCTTGTTTTAATTTTAATTCTCCATTTTCAGCACGAAAAGGGATTTTCATATGTGTTCCATTGTTTTCAAAGCCATTGTTGACTTGTTCATGTTGACTTTCCATTTGACTTTGACCTCCTGAATCACTTCTAGCCAATGAAGAGCATTGTGTTTCTGTACAAGAGTGAATATAAAGTTAGAATCTCAAGGGTATTTCAGACATTTGACAAAAAACTAAAACACCATCCAAAAACAAAGTATCAATCAAAATCATGGACTCCTGAGAAAGTTGCAATCTTTAGAAATTTCTCATTATACCCTTTAACTAGTTTTGGGAATTTGTATTTGGTTAACAAGATTCCTAATTTTGCTCAAGGGTATTTTAGACATTTGATAAACAATGAATCAAAACAAACGCTATCCAAAAACTCTGGAAATAGAAAGTTGCAATCTTTAGGAACTTTCCATTATAAATCTTTACAAAATTCAACTTTTAGGGTAAACAAGATTTCTAATTTCATCCAAGGGTATTTCAGACATTTGACAAACGATCAAACTTACCTTTCAATTCTCCAAAAGTGATGAGGCGATTAAGACAATCCCGAAAAGCTGTCAAGACAATCTTCTCCTGAGCAGCATATGTTTCAGTCACCACCTGTCCATGTGGCAGCTGAGCTGGCACGTGGGCCCCACCGGGTATAGAATTTGAAGCAGTGAAAACCGTATCTTGTTCATCACACATCAATGCTAAAGTTCCAGGGGACATGGGCCTACCTTTTGACCCATCTGGCCCATCTGAACCCGACCCATTTGGGCCCATTTCATCATCATCATCATTGTGGGCCCCACTTGAAGGTTCATCTGCCACCACTTTTTCAGTTTCAGGTTCTTCTTTTAATGTTGAGCTTTCTCTCTGATCATCTGTATTTTTACAAATAAACAACTCATTTTTTTTAAAAAAGAATGTAAAGATATTATATTTTATAATAAACAAAAATAAATGAAAGTACATTGCTATTTTGTTACAATTACCTGCAAGCATTCTTGCAGCTTCATTTGCATACACCACTAAAACAGAACAAAGCTCCTTTATATCATCTGGCCTAATAAGATCTGCTAAAAGAGACCTTCAATTTCAACAATTGATCAAATAGTTAGTTTTAGAAAAATAAAAAAAAAAAAACATTGCAACTTAAAAGATTTTATAAACATGTATAAATGCAAGAAACAACAATGTAGTTTCATTAATTTGTTGATTATAATAGGGTTAATCTCAAAAAGGATCTTATATTTTGTGTTTTTTCCAGATTAAACCTCAAAAAAAAAAATTGTCTGCAAAAAACCTTGTGTTTTTTCATTTTTTTTCCGAAAAAGCCCTCAACTTTGTATTTTTTTTTTTTCCGAAAAAAAACCTTCAACCTTCTAAATAAACCCTCAACTTTTTTAGTTTTTCTCGAAAGAATCCTAATATTTTACAATTTTTTGGGGGGAAATTGTCAGAAAAGTCCCAATATTTTCGGAAAAGTTCCACTTCAATCCCAAAATTTATTTTTTTAACAGAAAAGCCCCGATTATTTCATTTTGGCTCAAATTAACAAAAAAATCATTTTTTTTCTTTTAACAGGAAATGACATATTATTGTGTAAAATGAAATAATCAAAACTTTTCTTTTCAAAAAAAAAAAAAAGGGATTAAAGTGAAACTTCTCCGAAAATATTAGGACTTTTCTGACAATTTCCTTTTTTTCGGCAAAAAATGACTAAAAGGACCAAATCGGGAAAAATAAAAAATAAACCGTTTTTTGCAGGCAAATTTTTTTTTTTTTGAGGTTTAATCCAGAAAAAACACAAAATACAAGGCCTTTTGTGAGATTAACCCTAGGGAAATCTCCGGAAAAGTCCCAAAATTTTACCCTAATTTACGAAAAAGTCCCAAACTAAAATTTATTTATGAAAAAGTCCTAATTACCAGTAAAAATGACGCTTTGGTCCTATTTTCCCGGTTTACCGCATTCATTACTTAACTGGTTTTAATAAAGTCCCATTATTTTACCATAATTTACAAATAAGTCCCAAATTATGGTAAAATAATAGGACTTTAATGAAAATTATGGTAAAATAATGGGACTTTAATGTTTCCGGGTAAGTAATGAAACCGGTAAACCGGGAAAATAGGGCAAAATCGTCATTTTTATCGGTTTTTGGGACTGTTTCATAAACCAATTTTAGTTTGGGACTTTTTCGTAAATTAGGGTAAAATATTGGGACTTTTCCGGAGATTTCCCTTAACCCTATTATAAATATCCAACAATTTAAAACAATAATAAACAAAAAAACAAAATAAAACTACATTGCTATTTCATGAATTCACACACCTGTATGTAAATTTAGAAGGGCCCACTGGAGCAACATTAGAAACACGAGGTGGAAGAAGAACATGAGACATTGAAGAAGAAGAAGAAGAAGAAACAGAAGCTTTAACATGATTCATTTGTTGAAACTGTGGAATCCTATGAAGAGATGATGAATCTTTTTCCATGGGCCCACCAAAGTAGAGTTCTTGCCCCTTCCTTTTCCGGGAAACCGGCGGTGATCCATAACCAGAGGAGCCAATTGCTCCGGTAATGGCGGCATTTGCCGCCTGTTGAAGATAAGCAATATTATTGCCTGAATCACCATGAAAAAGAGCTTGTCTTTCTTCACTTCCTTCAAAATTCTTGCAATCCATACATCTGCAATTATCAGAACAAAGAATGTTTGCTTGAAAACATTCACAGTATTTCTTTAAGCATCCGGATTTTTTACAATGGCATCCTTTGTTGTGTTTTCCTAATACCACAACTACTTCCCCTGCTTCTTCCTGAAATATGTAAATTATGTAGTGTTAATGATCCACAGGGGTAGTTTTGTAAATTTCATAAAATACTTACTCTATGATCACGGGTTCCATGTGGACTACTTGCAATTTTAGGTCTAAATGCATTTGGATTTCGTTCCAATGTTGCTTCAACAGCATCTCTTCTTGCACTTTCATTGTCAACATTGTTATGACAGTTTACACAGTTGCATCCATCACAATATATTCCAGATGCAAAGCATTCACAATATCTGTAACATATAACATAGTATTATAAATGTATCAAAGAATGATGTTTTTTTTGTTTTTTAATATACTTACAACTTTAAGCATCGTGAGTGTTTGCAGTTGCATTGTTTTTGTTTCTTTGGAGTTCCTTCTTTTATTTCAACATTTTGTCTTGGACGTGCTTTTGGAGATTCGATTTTCCTGAAAAGGGAAAGTATTTGTTTTTATTTAAACTGATAAGACAATGTTGAGGCTTCCTATTAGCAAAGAAAAGAGTCTCATTAAATGCACAAAGGAAAAGGGAATAATGGATATGTTATTTCTGTTGTCTTGTTGTAGATTTGAAGGTAGTGAGCAATACGAAAGGATATAAAGTTTGGATGATTTCATTTGAGATTAAGCCCCAAATGCAGAATGAAAATGCATATTGGTTGTTAGATATAGTTTTTCAATGTAACAATATTCAGGGCCTCGGTGTGAGTAGAGTTTGTGTTTAATCGTAAATGGAGCATTGAGGGATACTCATCAAAATCAAATTTCTTAACCAATGTTAGAGGCAAGGTAACTAAAGAGAATCAATCTCCAAATGATGATTACTGTCTAATTGAAGAGAAAGTTGCAATTTTTTTTAATGGAAGAGTTGAAGTTTGGCAAATACGCTTGATTTGAATCGGTACAAATGCCCTTTGATGTTAGATTATGTATTGAATCAGAAACTACTTAATTGGAGTTTTGATTAGGCGTAATGCAGAATACTTACACAGGTCTTATAGGTGGTTGTTGATGAGTGGTTGCAGCGTGAGATTGCTGCATCGATGGATTCAACGGTATTGGATGAGGGTGTGGCTGAGGGTGAGGATGTAGTTGTGGTTGCGGCGGCGGCAGCTTTGGCTGTGACGGAGACGGCGGTGGCTGTTGCATCTGTCCTGCCATCAGCCGTTGAGGATGCTCAGGGAAAACAACTGTAGACGCCGTAACTGATGCACTGCCACTGCCACCAACACTATTAAAATCCAGCTGGCGCGCGAGCTTCTTTGCCGCCGGGAAATCCGTCGATGTCGTCGGAGCCGCTGCCGCTGCAGCCTCGGTTTGAGTCTTTTTCGGAGGGAAATTCAAATCCCCTCCGCCTTCACCTTTCTCCATTCTTACTTATCCAAATTTCAAATTGTCTGCTGAATAAAAACTTGTGTATGAAAAAAGAAAGGGAGAAACAATCAACTTCGTTCACTAAATTTCCCAATTTGATACCAAATTCAACATCTATTGGAATAAGAAATCAACCCCAGAGAGAAACCCAGAAAAAAAAACCATCAAAAGCTTCTATCACTCAACTCCAACAGCTCAGATTCACAGCTTGAATTCGTCAAAGATTTGCCTCAAATCAGCAGAAAGCCGATCCACGCAACGTCGTGAAAACATAGGAAGCCAGTAATTGTGATGAAAGACGTAATTAATTTGGATGTGATAAATAGATGAAAAAAAATCGAAAAGGGGGAAAAACTAAAGAGAAGCAAAATAGAGGCTTTCTCCTTTCGTAGCTTTGTTCCTCCCTCTCTCGAGCTTTTGAAATTCAATTTTGTAAATATTCGACGGTATGATCATGTCTTGGTATTCCCATCGGATGACTATGGTTGAATCATTTGATCCAACGGCTATGCTTGATTCCGGAGTCAATTGGTGATTCCAGCACGTTGATTCATACGACTCCCATGTAAGAATTAAGAAAAGATTATGTCATAAATTAGATGATTAGTGTTCATAGTGAACATATATTTTCATATTTATTTTTAAATAAATAGATTCGGAATAAAACTTTGGTGATCAAATGTTGATTGAATAATTATATTATAATAAATATTAGATAAACTTTACAATAGATTTATATGTAACTTGTTTCATATATTACGACCAATGGTCCCTATGGTTTAGGGTAATTTACGTGTTTGGTCCATAAATTATTTTTTTAATTCGGAAGGTTCTTAATGTTTGTTTTTGTTACGCGTTTGGTCCCTGTCTTACCTAAAAAATCTATTTTTCCCTTGATTTTTTAATTTATTTAAATAAAAACACCCCCAACCCCACTCCCTCACCTTACCATACCTACCCTACTATTTTTCTCTATTTAAATAATAATCTTTTTAAGTAAGACATGGACCAAACGCGTAACAAAAAACAAACAGTAGAGACCAAGCGCGTAACAAAAACAAAGAATAGGGACCTTCCGAGTTAAAAAAAAATAAGTTATGGACCAAACGTGCAAATTACTTCAAACCATAGGGACCATTCGTATAATTTACTCATATTACGATTTGTCAGATTTTATTTAGAACAGGAGACATTTTCAAACTTAATATATTAATTTAAAGTATATTTGCAAGATCATAATACATATCATCGTTCCATGTGATGGTTATATTAGTGTTGTGTAAAAGAATATGTGTTTTTTATTTCCATTTAACATGACTAACAATTTTGAAATTTTGAATATGTCGATACGATAGTCGATTGTAAATATGTCACACAAGAAATGTGAAGCTATTATCTTTGATACATGTTTTAATAGTTCTGAAATATTAAGGTAGTTATTGTGACTTATTAATTATGTAAAACTTCATTGTACACTACGTTTCAAGCTTTTAAGTAAGATCTAAGGTTAAGGTTTGAAGATTAAGAAGGAAGTTGAAGCTAGAGTTCTTCACTAAGACCATTCATGTATGATCTCACATTTCTAGCTCAACTCTCGATAAAGGGTTTGATCATTTTTCCAAATCCAATTTTATTAGTAAATTAATGTCGTTTAGCTAATTCAAGTACTTGATATAAATCATTTTTAAACAACAAATACTAAATCCTAAATCCAATTATACCACCTATGTGGTTCAAACTCTTGACCTTTCACAAATGAGAGACACTCCTACCGTTTGAGTCAAGGCCCTTTGGTACATGATATAGATCATATAAGTGTTGATATTCAACTAATGAATGATCAAATCTCACCTTACATTGTGGAATTGGGTAAATTATAATCCTTACCGTTTAAGGAAGTTGTATAATAGATATATTAATTTGTAGTTTTGCTTATATATTCATTATTGGATCTAAATATAATCCATCTAAACTAATTGTTATGGAAATTAGTTCATATGATGATTTTTAGTTGTGATTCCATTATTTCAATGAAGTTTATGATGATAATTTCGCCATCGGAATTGAATAATGAGATTTTGAATCGAATTCAACCGTATAAAACATTGATAAAAAGTGTAAATGAGTTGCTCAAACCAAACTTATGAATGTTTTAATGAATTTACAAATGTTTAAAATAACTTACAACATTCATAAAGGATTTGAATATCACAACTTCATAGTTGTTTGGAATCACATTGACAGGGACGGAATCATGATTTAAGGTTTGGAATTAAGATTTATATAATGTTGAATCATGATTTGGGCTATCATTCTTTATTAATTAATATGTAGTAAAACGGAGTATAAAAATTTATTAATTAATATGTAGTAAAACGGAGTATAAAAATTCATAGAAGTCATTTATGGCTTAAGACTTAAGGTGAACGATTAATATCTTCATGGATTCTCACGAATTCATGTGATATTAAGACCTTTGAGTACTAAGGCATGAATGAATTAAAGCTCAATGCATAACTTAAGCGTTCTGGTAACTAATCCTTAAAGTGTACAAACCATTAAAGTGCACAACAGAGAGCCTTTAATTTAGGTGCACTAACCATTAATTTACATAATTGAGGAGCCTTTATGTGCACTAATCTAGATGAGATTACTCTCAACATTTGTAAATCACCTGTATTTGTGGTATACATGTGTAACACCTACAAGACACGGCTAGATCATTAATGAATAATATGATAATTATTTGTCATGGTGATAAATACATGTTTTTGATAGAAGATTATTTAGGATAAATAATCTAAACAAAATGTATAGTAATCGTTAAAGCAAGAGCGTGCATATAGAAAATGTCCAAATCTGACATCATATGAGGAAGTTATGATTGTTTGAAGTTTCAGCGCAACAGTGCGTGACACAGAAACCGAAATAGAAATTGGTTGATTTTTAGCCGAAACAATCTAAACGAGAGTTGAAAATTATAACGCCCGTGTTTCTAGGCTAAGCATTGGTGTGATGATGTAATAGTTAGGGTCAACCATTGTAACTTACTTTGAAATAGTAAAGAGGAATTACTTGAATATTATGTGATTTTATGTGTTTTATACTTGTTTATAAAGATATCATAAACTAAGAGTGAAAATAAGCATCAAAAATAAAAGTGTAGATAAACCCAATATCTATGAAGAAAGCGGTAGTAGTCGTGACAAGGATTATGGAGATATAAAGAACGCCGAAATCCGAGTTACAACGAAAAGTGAATTTTTGATAAACTACTTTTTAGCCTTAGAGATCTAAATGAAAGTTGTAGTATACATTAAAACGAGAGCATGCATAAAAAGAACGCTCAAATCTGAATTTGTATGAGGAAGTTATGATTTTTCTAAGATTTGGCATAAGAGTGCACAACCCGAAATTCGAATTTGTAACAACCATAAATTTTACGCCAAATTTAAACTTTTTCAATCATGAATAAAAACCACATAGCATTGTTTACAAAATGTTTTCAAATCATTTTCCATCAAAGTGTCCCAAAAATCATAAAATAAGGATGAGGGGTGATACGGTCACGCCTTCGCCTTTCCACGATCTCCTGAAATACCTAAAACAATAAACTGAAAGCTGTAAGCCCGAGGGCTTAGTGAGCTACCCCCAAAATACCAATACCACATTGACGATACCACAACAGTAATAATCAATTCAATCAACATGCATACCGGGCCATCGGCCTGACTGGACCCCCCTATCGGGCCTACAGTATGTCTGAATCCATCCCGAGCCTTCGGTATGACTGGTCTGCCACATGGGCCTATAGTCTCCCCGGACCACTCATAGGGTACATTGGCCTTCAGCACAAAGCAGGACTGCCTCAACCCAGCCACAAGCAAATAACCATGTGCGCATACTATCATATACATGCATATACAAACATCAAACATATCTGTCACACTGATCATCAATCATAGAACTCTCTTGTAACTAGAGTACTGACCTAGCAGGTCACTAACACACCAATCCCTATGGATCATAAGAGCATAACATACTGTCTACCTCGATTCCGAACTAACAGATCATAACCACATGCAACATACCATAACAATAACAACTAAAGGGGCCGACCTTGGTGCCGTAGACCCTATCGATATAGTGAGGATAACTCACCTTGCAGATGTCGACTTGAAAGGCAAACTCCAACTCTCGGTTCACTTGACACAGGCCCCACCACCTATCGTCATAGCACAACATACTCATAAGTCCTTAACCTTATAAGGTGCTCCATAACCCACTAGTCAAAGTCAAAGTCCTTAGTTAAGGTCAACAGTCCATGTTGACCTTCACTCGCCGAGTACCCTTGGGTACTCGCCGAGTACTCTAGAGTATATTCCAACTCGCCGAGTCATCAGAGTGACTCGTCGAGTTCCTTTGATTCTCAATCAAACTTAAGGTCACCCGTCGAGTTCCCTCCTTGCAACTCGACGGATACACACTCATACATATCCCAGAGAAAACTCATCCGACTCACCGAGTTGTTCTTCAACTCGTCGAGTCTTATGGCGATCTTCATCGGACTTGCCGAGTTGTTCATCAACTCGTCGAGTTCACGACCATCTTCAGGTGACTTGCCGAGTTAACCTTGCGACTCGCCGAGTCCATTCAGTCTTTTTTCCATACAGACTTGTTTTGAGCCATGCAACAACTCTAACTCATAGATTCAAGCTTCTAGGGCATGCTTATCACGTAAAGTTGCAAACTTTACGTGCATGCATGACCATAAAGGCTCTAAATGTCTATTCTAAGTTCTTAATGGAACTTCATGCTTAAGAGGGATCTTAATCACAACCAAGACTGTGACTTTATGCTTCTAGAATCCAAGGAGGGTCTAGATCTGAAGTTACAACTTTGGATCTAGCCCATAACTCATCATACCAACTTGAAAATCTATAAAAGCCCTAGAAACTCAACAAAAGGGAAAAAGGGAAGTAAAAATGGCACTTTGATACCTCCAAAGGATGCTAGCTGAGGTAAATCCGGCTTTCCACTCCTTCCTTGCTTCAATTTTCTTTGCACTCTTAGCTTTCTTCCTTCAAGATCCTCTTTTTCCAAGCTTCAACGCCACACCAAGGCACACACACACGAATTAGGGTTTTAAGGGGGCTCTCAAGGACTGTAAAGAGGCCAAAGGAGGCTAAGGCTCCTTTAAATAGATGTGCAAACCCCGGGATTTTGGGTTTTCATAGCCAGCTCCTACTCACCGAGTCCCAACATGGACTCGTCGAGTAGGTTACTTAAAACGTGATCCCACCCCGCTGCTACTCGACGAGTAGGTCAACCAACTTGTCGAGTAGAGCTGAACCTAATAAATCTTATTTAAGTAATACCTGAGAATCAGGGCGTTACAGAATTTTAGATCGATCT